ATATAGCAACCCACGCTTGGCTTTAAAACGTTTTTATACATTTTTAAGCATAGAAATGCTTACATATAACTCTTAAATGTTAAAAACACGAGCTCATTCTTGTAGCTATTTGTACTATCGAATAAATTTGAGAATCGGGTGAGTTTAGTTTCTACACAGTACTCACTGATACACATTTGAAGAAAATCAAACAAAATAATCATAATAATAATAATAAAAAGCGTGACGTTTAGGTCGAAGAGAATTCTCCCAAAACGTCTTAAATTTAAAGAAACAATCACGTTCGATATGATCGAGGCACTCAGCCCAAGTGGATACCCATCCCTCGATAATTCTCGTCCTTGCTGGGTACTATATTCGTTATTATAATCATCTCCGCCCTCTTCACACAGTGAGAGAGAGGATTTGATTGGCCACTTGCCTTGCGTTTCTACAATTGAAATTTGGTTTTAAATTAGAAATCCTTCTATTCGATTGGTCGAGGTTTTTTTTTTTATTTTTTAAAAAAGTAGTTTCTTGTGGAGTTGTTGAACCTTGATATTTAGGCACGAGTTATCTCCATTGTTTGACTACACGGCCTGTATAGCGAAAGAAATCCATCTATTTTGTTTTTTATTAATCAGGCTTTTGAAAGGAGAATCGGATCTATGCTATACTCCTACACGCATTTGCTTTTAATAAACTGCCTTTTGCATGTTGCAATCTATCCATGCTGTCTTTAAGCATTTTTTCTGCTTACTTTTAAATCTTACTTATAAATGCATATATATATATATATATATATATATATATATATATATATATATATATATATATATATATATATATATATATATATATAGTTTATGTGTGTGTATGCGTGTGAGTGCATGTGTGTGGGTGTGTCTGTAAGTACGTATCTGTTCACTTGTTCTTATGACCTCGGCATATGAAGGGATAGCGTGGTCAGTACTTTGCCAAGCGCCTTTACTTTCCCTAACGTGAGTTAGAAACCCATCAGAGCTGGGTGGACTCAAAGACGTTTTTCGGACTCGAACCCGGATTTAACCTCGAAACTTTCTTGTTTGCAGTCGTATGCTCTGCCGTTCGACAACGCCGTACCATAATCTTAAGTATGCATCTGTAATTTATATGTGTGGTTAGTGTTTGTGTGCGTATGTATGTGTTATAATGTATTTTTACCATACAAAATTATGTAACAATCTCCTCTTTAAACCTAAACGAGTAGCATTCATAATATCACACAGTGCAACAGCTTTAAACAATGCATCTATAATTTTATCTCTATAGTTTTATCCGTTAATGTCTTCACTTTGATGAATAACGTTGACAGCCAAAAAAAATTCCAAATTTTTTCTTAAACACAAACATCCCTAACATCTTAAATCTGGTACCAGACAAGAACATCAGGACCGACTACTCTAGCCGACAAAGCGCCGACGAGCCTCGATGCGGCACCTCAATGTTTGTTCAGCACATCGCCTCTCAACCAATGGAATCAGCCCGGGCTGATCCACCCTTGACCTTTGTCGGCGGCTGGTATCATCAAAGGCGCGAGCTAATGTTGATACCAACTCGGCAAGACGTCGATGGCTTGTCAATAAAACTAAAAAAAACTGGCCAACTGGGTACAAAATCATATCCGTTTAACGGTTCGATAAATTGTCATAATTTTAACAACACGTACTTTTAAAAAGAGTTTTTTTTTTATCTTCAAAATTTTGTATCTATCGTTATATTTTTCTTTGTTTCGCAATAAGGGTCACATTTGTTTTGAAAATATTAACAAAATTTAAAAGCAATAGCTCTTTTTGACAGATGTAGATTATACAAAATTGCAAGAAAAGAATAAATCAAGATGCCTATATAGTTATCAGAGCTGGGTGGATTCGATAACGTCATGCGGACTAAAGCCCGGGATCCGAACTCGAGACTTTCGGGTACTCTTCGTTCACTCTACTACCCGACCACGCTATTCACATAATACACTAGGGTCGAAATCACATAAAAAAAATTCATAAAAAACGTTTTAATAACAAGCTTTTATGTAATGATGCACTAAAAAGTAGAAAATAAATTATAGACTACTATTTAAATAACTATAAAGAAAAGCGTGGGTCACTTTAGTATCTATTGGATACCTTTACTAATGTTAAGGAAGACACCCACGCTTTTCTTTATAGTTATTTAAATAGTAGTCTATAATTTATTTTCTACTTTTTAGTGCATCATTACATAAAAGCTTGTTATTAAAACGTTTTTTATGAATTTTTTTTTCAGTACTTTACATGTTTTATCTACAATAGAGTTACATGACTAAAAACCATTGCGCGCCTACTGAATATCACGTTCAGTAGGCGCGCAATGGTTTTTGAACGCAGCCATTACGTGGTCGTGATGGCGCAGCTATTGATGACGCGTGTGGTGTGGTTGGCTAGACATGCCTACTAATTCGGTCCAAATTTTAATTAATTCATAAAAAATCAATTAGGCATCCAATTAAGTCAAATTTAGTTTCAGATTGCATTGTCTTCATGTCTTGACCCACGTGCCAACTGTGAATCGTGTCGGTCAAGTAGAACTGTCCGAATTTTCACTCCTGCGTTTCCGTCTAGACTGACGACTGACGACTTACGACAGACAGAGGAAGTGAGTTAAATAAAAGCTTGTAAAAATTAATATAAAAAAATTCATAAAAAACGTTTTAATAACAAGCTTTTATGTAATGATGCACTAAAAAGTAGAAAATAAATTATAGACTACTATTTAAATAACTATAAAGAAAAGCGTGGGTCACTTTAGTATCTATTGGATACCTTTACTAATGTTAAGGAAGACACCCACGCTATAATTTATTTTCTACTTTTTAGTGCATCATTACATAAAAGCTTGTTATTAAAACGTTTTTTATGAATTTTTTTTCAGTACTTTACATGTTTTATCTACAATAGAGTTACATGACTAAAAACCATTGCGCGCCTACTGAATATCAAGTTCAGTAGGCGCGCAATGGTTTTTGAACGCAGCCATTACGTGGTCGTGATGGCGCAGCTATTGATGACGCGTGTGGTGTGGTTGGCTAGACATGCCTACTAATTCGGTCCAAATTGTAATTAATTCATAAAAAAATAATTAGGCATCCAATTAAGTCAAATTTAGATTCAAATTGCATTGTCTTCATGTCTTGACCCACGTGCCAACTGTGAATCGTATCGGTCAAGTAGAACTGTCCGAATTTTCACTCCTGCGTTTCCGTCTAGACTGACGACAGAGTGTCGACAGACAGAGGAAGTGAGTTAAATAAAAGCTTGTAAAAAAGCAACATGGTCAAATGTACGTAAAATATCGGAGTTCAACTAGACTAAAATATCTTCAAGAACTTCATCCGGGTACTCGTTACCGCTGAGTCTACTCATATACCCGAACAATAAATACGAGACATCCTGCAGTCATAATTGTAGTTTTATGTCATGTTTCTGCATTCACGGTTCGACTGCGCTTAAGCAAGCTAATAAAATTAGTCCGAAACAAAGGGTTAAGTCAATCAAAAAACAAACACACAAAAACCATTAGACAATATGTTCATATGGTTTGTTTTATGTTTGTTTCGTTTTTGTTTTTTTTAAACGTCTCTATTTTTATTTCTTACATCTCTTTAAGCTGGTTTTTTTTAAAAATGTAGCATCAAGTTACCTCTAATCGATTTTATCTATTGATTGAAAAACCATGTTACTTTTTATTAAATAGGATTTTTTTTTACTAGAAGTTAAAATATTTAAACATATTTTATACATCGGCCTTAATCACTGATACAATGTAACATCAATACGTGTGTCAAAAAATAAATGTTAAACATATAAAAGTAACAAGGTTGAAGATTGAATGATGTATAAGATTGAGTTTGATTGATTTCCAATAGTAATCGATAAATTAATCGATAAATTGTATGCATGTAAATATAATGTAAATAAAGATGTCATCGTTCAATCCTTCCCCCCCCCCTACCCAACACACACACACACACACATACACACACACCGTTTTTCGCTACACGGGAATAATTTGTCGTCATCTGAAATGTGACGTCAATGTGACGTCATTCCGCTCCTCACCTGACCCGCCCTCCCCAAAAAATGTCATCATTACTCAGCAGTTTTTCTCATCAAAATATCATAATAAAATCATGATTGAAAACCTTGAGCGCGAGGCAGATAGATGTGTCATATAATGTACATGCATATTTATTTAGAGCACCCTGGCTGGACTGAGTTATAGGCCAGGGGATCCGTCAGTGAATTTTTTTTGATAGGTCAGTGGGGTTTTGGGGTCAGTTTGTAGGATTTTGGGATCGATCATTTAGATTTTTGGTATGTATTGTTAGATTTTGGGATCTGCGAGTGTTATTTTGAGATCAGTCACTTAGATTTACCTTAAGTAAAGAACTTATTCAACCTTAAGTAAAGTACTTATGTAATTTTAAGTAAATTACCCATTAAACCTTTTAAGCAGAGTTTCTTCCAGGCATCTCTTATGGAATTTATATAGAAAATATATACTTTTATATATATATATATATATATATATATATATATATATATATGCCTACATATTATATACGCCTCTAAATTAAAATTAAACATTGCCAGATACGCGTACATGTATGTATATAAGCTTTAATCACTGCAGACTCCAGAGTAATGATGTTTATCTTTAGTCTGTTAATAATACAGTTGGATGTAGCATTGCTTTCTCTTGTAATAATTGTACATTTGTGCTTAATAGATTATTTAAAATTTAATTAATCATTAATGGAACTGCCAAAAAAAAAGCATTTTTCTTCTGTACATTTTGCAATTTTGTTTTGCCGTTTTTGGTTCACCCCCATAAATCGTGACGCCCGGAGCGGTCCGCACCCCCCGCCCTCGCTACGCCTCTGATGTACATCTTGTTTGTTCATGCTTATCTGTATCTAACGTAACCTCTATTTGCTTATCTTTCAGAAGATGTGCCCCATAAACCTGTTGAAGATATTTATAATAACACTCGTTACGTTGGAGGTCAATGGATTTATTTTACCAAAGAGGAGCCGCAGTATCGACTGCAAGTAAGTGATTTGTTTCGTGTCACTGTCGGGGTACTGTAGCAGTGCAAAAGGTGTATTGGAGGTGTCAGGTGTCATCTGGTGTGGTAAAGAATGGTGTCACCCACTTCCCTCACACTATTTTGAAATTTCGTTTTGATGTCACCCCACTTCCTACTATTTTATTATCTTAACTGGATTAAAAATTTGTAATTTTACGTTTTAATTTAATGTTGTATCACCCCCCCCCCCCCAACCCCTAAATGGTGTCCCCCTGTGCGGATTGCAACCCCTACCCCCGCATTGTGACGCTATTGATATGAGTGCCATAGTACTACATGTTTTGTAGGTTCTGAAGACTTTGTATTATCGTGTAATGTGTAACTAGGCCTATTTGACATATTTTACCGCGACTGTCTATATTGTGTAATTATTAGTTGGCGATATGCTTTTTATTTTGAGAGAATTAAACTCTATTTGTGTTTATTCTTATGGTTTTTATTATGTAAGATCTAGATTCTATGTGTCTAAATGTATTAATTTTATTATGTAAAAACTAAAATCTAGATGTGTTTCCAGAGTTTCTTTTTAAGGCAGCTCTTCTGGGGGGGGGGGGGGCGGCTCTCTGCCCCCCTCCCCCCTCCCGATAAAAGTCTACCGTCCCGTCCCCCCGAACGAAATTGAATTTATATAGAAAATATATACTTTTAACAGTGTCCACCCCCACCCACCGGAAATTTTAGTCCGCCCCCACCGGAGAAAAAAGTCTGGAAGAAACACTGTGTTTCTCGTTATGCTTTTTTAATGTAAGAATTAGACTCTATATGTGTACATTGTTACGGCGGTGATTTCGTTGTTTGAAGCAGTTTGTGTAATATTTAAATGCCAGAAAGTGTCATTGTACTTTACACGGCGAATGTAATGATAGTACTATTAAACAATGTTTCATTTGTCTGTTCAGAGTGCTTGCCCCTAGGTGTTTAAGACTGCATTTTTCCGACTGTTCTTCCGCTTTCGATTTTAACCAGTCCCTATTTCAGTTGCACTATAGGTGTTTTTTATATATTAGGTTTTTTAATTAGCCTCCATAAATGGCTAGTCGGCTGTTGGTTATCTAGCAGTTTTGATAAATTAAATAGTCTCTTCATCCTCTTAATAGTACTTTTATTTATATTTAGTAATTTAGTAATTTCCCTCTTGTAAGAAGCAATAGAGATAAGAGTATGATAGCAGCAGCATTCATCTTTTTAGTGTCAGAAAATAAAGGTGATAGCAAACTTTAAAAAAAAAAATTATTTTGCCAGAAAAATCTATCATACCATGATGGGTTAAATGTTTTACAGGAATTCATACTAAATGTTTCTTTATTTGATGTTTTTTCTCAGTTGGCAAATACCGTATGAATGTTAGTCATTTAAAAAGTATTTTTAGTTTCGCAAAAAATACATGCTCGTACTGGTAAGAGTAATCGGAGCGTGCACGTTCACGCTTGCAAACTGTCACAGACATACACGCACTTACACACACATACAAGGATATACAAACATATTCCTATATATACACATACACGCACATACAATCTCATACAAGAATATACACGCACATACAAGCTCAGACAAACATATACATACATTTACACATACACACACATACACACACATACACACACATACACACACATACACACACATACACACACATACACACACATACACACACATACACACACATACACACACATACACACACATACACACACATACACATACACATACACATACACATACACATACACATACACATACACATACACATACACATACACATACACATACACATACACATACACATACACATACACATACACATACACATACACATACACATACACATACACATACACATACACATACACATACACATACACATACACATACACATACACAAACACGTACACGTACACGTACACGTACACGTACACGTACACGTACATGTACACGTTCACGTACACGTACACAACGAGGAAATATTTTTTTTAAACAGACATCCAGAAATACAAGTTCCACTCTTCCAAACCTTACCACGTGACATCAAACATGCTCATCAATACCCCGGTGACACCGACATGCAGGTAATCACAGGTAAATTGTCCACCTGGTGATTGATTAGGACATCAGTTCGATCTGTGGGGAAAGTGATGGATGTTGATCAGGGTAGAATGTCTAGACTTAAACTCTTTTTCACGTTCTTGTCAAAGAAACATTGGTCAGAAAAAGTAGAGTTAGCTTAAATTATATATATATATATATATATATATATATATATATATATATATATATATATATATATATATATATATATATATATATATATATATATATATATGACATTACCCCCTGTCAGCTACTCACAGGTCGTCCATCCACAACACTACTGCCCGGATCAGTGACCACCCCCGCCTCCCCCTCTTGTTCATAACTTCTCATACAATACCCCCCTTCCAGCAAAAAGCTGCAGTAAGTCGTTACCCCCTGTCAATTATCCCCTCCCCTCTGGTCATTTGGAGTTAGGGTAAGATATATGGTTAGATATAGGGTTTGGAATAGGAATAGAAATAAGGTTTAAGATAGACAAATAGTTTGATGTAGGGTTAAGATTACAGTTATGGAGCTGGATAGAAAGTTGGATACAAGATGGATAGGGATCTATATATATATATATATATATATATATATATATAGATGTAACTAGGGTAGCTACCATACTATGGTTAACAACGTATTACAGTCTGATGCAACTGATAACGATCATAAAGCCACGGCGTATTTTGGGAAGGATACGACAAGCGCTGTCAACTTTGACACGACTTGGCTGATGTAACAGTGCAGGTGTTCTATTAATCGGACTGATGAGACAACTGCGTAGTAATAGGCGAGATATTCGGATTGAACATAACTATGATAGAACCGAATACGATTACGAATACGAGGAGAGATAAGATAGGAAGGCGACAGTTGAGAAGGGAAAGCCGAACTGTAGAGACGTGTTGAGGAGAGTGGCAGTATCAAGTTGGTTACTGAACGGTGTAGACGTATTGTGTTAATAGGGACGATAGACATGGGCATTCGGTTATGTGAAGACTAGTGAGGACAGTGGGGTCAGTTGATTCATTATATTATTGTGAAGCATGTCTTTTTGATTCATGTAATAAAAGGATCAATGGTAAACCTGCATCTTCGAGTATCGGCTCCCGGTCAAAAACCCCCTGGACATAAACCCCCTGGACAAAAACCCCCCGACATAAACCCCCTGGACAAAAACCCCCCGCGACAAAAACCCCCTGGACAAAAACCCCCCGCGACATAAACCCCCAGGACCAAAACCCCCCGCGACATAAACCCCCCGGATAATAACCCCCGAACTGAGGTTTATATAAAGAAATAATAACGATGATGTGAACCAAAAAAATGTAAAAAATACATTAAATGAATTTAATTTTTTACGACTAAGAAAATAGTTTCTACCTAAAAATAATGCTATTCGAAATCAAGGAGTGACCTTAGTTGTATTTGATCAAAGATCGGGTACAAAGGACAACCTTAGGTTATTGGATGATAATCAGCACTGGTTTTTGGATGGTACAAATACAGGACTCTGGCACTCAACAACTCTACCAAGTTAATAGTGAATTTGCTCTCAAGCTCAGAATGCTACCTGCGTTGGTTTTTGTTCCCATTGAACACATAAGTTATGCCTTTGAAAAATTATTGGAAATTTTCCCCCAAGAAGCAATGGCAATTGCAGACTACTTTGAGGACTACTATATTGGCAGACCACAACGTCGAGGTCGGAGACAGCCTATGTTTCTACTTGATATGTGAAGCATGCACACACGTGCAGAAGACCATATGCCAAAAATAACCAACTCAGTTGAAGGCTAGCACAGAAGTTTCCAGTTGAATATGGGATGCTGCCTCCCAAATATTTGGAAATTTATTGACTTTATTAAAAAGGAACAATCTCTCCAAGAGGGTTATTGTACACAGATTAATTCAGGTCACCGTTTACTAAAACAATAAAAAAAATATTGATAGCAGCTCTCGAATTTTAACTGTTGTTAAAAATGTTAATGAGTCCACCATTATTGAGTATTTGCGAGGCATCGCTCACAATCTGTCTTTTAAAAGTTATAATAAAAATAAAACAGTTTTTTTGTAATGTTTTTTTTTAATTTATATATTAATTTTGGTTCTCATCATCTTTGGTTTTTCCCTATATAAACCTCAATTGGGGGGTTTTTGTCCAGGGGGTTTATATCGCGGGGGGTTTTTGTCCAGGGGGTTTATATCGCGGGGGGTTTTTGTCCAGGGGGTTCATGTCGCGGGGGGTTTATGTCCAGGGGGTTTATGTCGGGGGGGTTTTGTCCAGGGGGTTTTTGTCCAGGGGGTTTTTGACCGGACACCCGAGTATCTATATTGTGGTCGATGTTGTGTAGAATGAGTAAATACACTCGTTAACATTTGGCACTACAAGCAGATAGACTCGGTTACATTTGGCGTTGTCGAGCAGAAGATGCAACTAGACTCGGTCACATTTGGCGCTGCAGGCAGGATGATTCAATTAGACCAGCCGCTAGGGCACCCATAGTCAACCTAGTTCATAACTGTGTTTCGTGTGTGTGTGAATTCGGACATTCAGGAACAGTGAAAATTGAGGAACGAGGAAAATTTTTCATACATACACGGTAGGAAAGGTCTTTTTTTTTTTTACTCAAGGAATAAAAGTTAGAATGTCTACTCTGGACGAGAAGCAGACCCATATTGTGGTCCTGCCCAGAGAGTCCCACATTAACAAATTTTACGGGGACGGTGATCCAACTTTAACCAACAGGTTCAGTGAAGAGGTCAAAGCGGCCTGGGCCTCGAGATACATGTCACCAGAGGAAAGATTAAGACTGCTGATGGGCAGTATAGGAGAGACGGTTAGGGCAGAGGTCAAATGCCACGATAAAACCATCCAATCAG